ACTTGACGAGCTCGGCGTTGGTCGTAGGGTAGACGGTCGTGGCGCTGCCACCACCAGTGACGCCCTTGGCAAAGCCTTCGGCGGCACCAGTCACTGCGGCGGCCGTCTGGAGGAGGGCAGCCAGTGCCGCGGAGAGAGTGATGGAGGTACGCATGGTTGATGATCGAGCTGTTTGTTGGAGATCGAACTGACTGTTGGAGTATCTAGCCGCTGGCCTTTACGAAGAGAAATGAAGATTGGATGGAGAGCAAGAAATGCAGTGTGAAGAAAAGAATGTAGAGAACGAGAGTGATGATACGATGTACCCGGAAAAGAGAGGACGTCGTTGACGATCAGAAAGCAACGACTAACAGCACTCAGCAGGATGAGCCTGACTATATCATCTTCACCGCGTTGAACCCCTTGACCACGAGCTGTCCCCATCCAGGCTTCATCCCACGTTCAGCCCGAATCTGGTCATTTCCCAATCAAACAAGCCCACTAACGAACGCCTCCTTTGCCCCGACAGCTCATTTCAGCACGGCATTCTACAATTGCGTATAGCTCTCGTCCCCGCCGCCCGGGTGCGGCCTCCGTTTGTGGCTCAGGCTCCGATCCTGAAGAGGAATCCAAGACCCTGAGTCGTGTGCCGCATTGCCGGGACACCCAACACCATGGCCCATTTCATCGTGAATGCGAGGGGGCATAGCGGGGAACGTCCGACGCCGCTCCACTTGCTCGTGGACACGTCTAACCCCTTCTCATCTTGGCTGGTTCGTGATTCATTTGCTGTGCATCGGACTGCGGAGAATAAAGGGCCGCCACCTAGTAAAAGACTGAAACACGGCCACTTTTGACACCTGTAACGAGACTGGCCCTATACTCATCTGCCGAAGAAACCTGGGTCGAAGAGGGAGAACGTGTCTCGGAGAAGGGCAGCAAAGGCTGCATGCTTGGCTCTAGGGACGATCGTCGTCGTCTTCTGTCTTTTCTTCCACGAACGGGGACGAGGCGCTTCTGATCTTCGGGATGTCACGCCATCATCAAGACAAGCTTAACTATGTTTACGTTCTGGCCTCGTCAAGGGGCTGGGCTGAGCGACGGCGCCCATGCCAGCTCACCACCGAAAAGCCACCAGCGTCTCGACGTTTTTTTTCGTCGCGGCCCGGCCCTTGCAAGTCCTCGGAGCAATAGGGGATGGGCCATTTCCAATCTATTTCGCAATCTATCAGCTACACACGCAAACACAGGAGCACGATAAAGGCAAGGTTAGTGTCATTTCTTTATTGATAGACCCTCAGCTACCAGCCGAATTTCTCTACGACGACACGAACGTCGGAACCACCCCACATGGCCTGTGAGCACGTGTTCCTCACATCCCGATTAAGACCATCCGGCCCCGAGACGAGAACGCGGGTTTGTCGCCCGTCGGCGTCTGCCTCCCTGATCCAGCTCTGCACGTGGCCCTGCACATCGGGTCGCCCGGCAATGGCCGTGGGACGCGACACGACGAGGTGCAGACCGGCAGCGACGAGGTCGTCCAGCAGTGATCCGGGCACCCAATATCGGTGCTCGTCAGAGTGGATGATCCACAACAGACGCACTCTCCGTGCTGCATCCTTGCCCTCGTCGCCGCCCGACTCGAGCAGTAGCCCTGCCGGCGCCACACCCCGGCCTCGATCCTCATCCTCTTGGTGGTGCTTGAGCAGGGCCCAGGCTAAGGGAAAGGTGACGGCTATGCCGGAACCGCCGGCGATGAGGATCACGTCATCTCCAGATCGCAGCGTGTCCATGGCGTGCGAGGACCCGTACGGCCCATCGAGGCGCACCGATACCGTCTTGTGCCTGTGCGCGTAGTGGAGGAGGTCCCTGGTAAAGCCACTATGCGCACGAATTAATAGATTGAGCCACGCATGGGGTGTGCCACCGGCAGCACCACGACGACTGTTGCTGATGCTGCTACTGCTGTTACCGCCGGTAGATGATGGTCCAGCTGATGCGATGGTAAAGGGGTGTGTTTGCAGGGCATGTGTGCGACCGAGGGCGGGGACCGTCAGGAACACATGGTCCGTCGGTTTCCACCCAGCCTTGATGCCCCTCTGCAACGCTGTCGCCGGTGCCACATCCCAATTGGCGGAAAGCAGGATCGTGTCGCCATCAGGCAGCACAGTGAGGTCTGCTGACAGCGTCGTCTGCTTGATGAGTAGCCGCCAGACGAGCCGATCGACAGCGAAGATGACCAACGCCGCCGTGACATAGGGCCTGGCCGTGTGGTAGTGGAGCCAGAGGAAGACGAGGGCCGTACTCTGCAGAAGGACATGGGATGCCAGGAACAGTTCGTACCATCTCTGCCGGACACTACCCAGCGACGTCAGGTACAGCAGTTCGTAGGACACAAAAGCACCGATGCCGAGGAGCACGAGGCGGTGCTGCAAGAAGTCCCAGAAGGTGCCACGCATGAGCCACTCGGGCTTGAAGAGCTGAAAGGCGATCATGCCGCCGAAGTGCACCGCCGCCAGAAGACAGAGCAGCTCGCCGACACGACGGTGGAATATATTGAGGGCCTCGTATGACTGGCCCGTCAGGTGTTTCAAGGGCTGGTTCTTGGCTGCCAAGAGATACAGGAGTGGCAAGTTGACAACGAACATGCAACCGGCTCGGTCGGCAAAGGCGAAGAGGAGATTGCCAACGAGCGGAGCATGGTAAAACTGGAAAAAGACATTGATTCCCAGGAAGCAAAGAACGAAGAGAGAAGTGCCGTTGGATGGGAGCGTCTTGTTGACGAAGGGGACCCGCCGAGGTTGATAGGCAAGCAAGGATGCGACGAGGGTCCAAGGCCCTGGTCGAGATGAGGGTGAAAGGGCTGTAGACTGTCGCGGATATCCCAGTAGAGGCCTTCGCTCGCCTTCTGCTCCTTCATCTTTACCGACTTCAGGAGGAGTTGCTGTTCCCTGAATCGTGCTGCTTGATGAAGATGATGAAGCGTCTGTTTGTTGACATGGCCGATGTGATGAGATTGTGATCGTGGTTTTGCTGCACCGAGCTCTCCGACGGCTGAATCGTGCTCTCCACCAGCCTGTTGCGACGAGTTTCTCCCGGAGATGGCAAGCTGTCAGGATGGCGAGAATGGCTAAGAGGACATAGTTATATGTCGCTGACAGCCGTCGTCCTTCGAGGAGAGCGGCGATCAATTGACGCAGATAGGCGAGCCGGGCGGGATCTGGCGGGGTGCTATCGCCGCCATGCTTCTCGTGCGACGCCGTAACGACATCCTCTTGAAGGATAGAAGAGTGAAGGGCTTCTCGCAGCCAGCGAGGGGTTGCGTCGCATCCATCGATACTGATTTCGACGGATGCGTTTGTTGGTGGGAGGTCGAAAGCAAGGCGAAGTGCAACTCGGGTCAGATGACGAGATCAGCTCGGCGACCGGCGCTCGTGGCTGGCTGCATCAGATGATCTGATAAGATTAGATCGACTCTCATCATTGGCTTGGCGCCGAGGCCGACATCGCAAATATGAACAACACTACGTCGACCATGCCCAGCCGCTATTGAGTTGGGTTTTTCTGGTCAGATAATTTCTGTTTCGAGGCCAATCGATGCAGATATCTACCTCTGTTTCGCCGGTGGTCGGTGCACACGTAGCAGGAGCCGAAGCAAAAGTGCCTTGGGGGTGCTGATCAGACTGAGCCGCACGCAAACGTCCAGCAGTGTCCTCACCAGCGAAGAAATCTAGCAAGACGTGAGGAGAGAACTCTGTTCATGGCCTGTAATGAACTATATCTCACAGAATTTTGAGCTAGGGCGCCGGCCTTTTGCAACATCTTCTCCGTGCGATCTTGGTGCTCCTTTGGCCCCGTATCAATGGAATGCAGTTGCGAATTGCACTACCCGAAATGTCACTGGAACGGCTTGATGATAAACAAGAACGCATCTACGCTCTGTTGGTGTTCAATATGGGGAGCTTTGAAGACAATGCGTCCAGATCTACGTTGGTCAAGGACGGAGTGCTTGAGTGAATTTCGTTGTTGTCTAGATATGGATGGCCTGAGCAAGGCAAGCTGCCATATATGGCTGTAATCAAAACTGAGGTCATCATACTGGAATATTGATCTAGCTTTTCACTGTAAAAGAAAAATGACCTAGAGTCTCCCAATTTTGACTCTTCGGTTTCGGAGAGGGCTTTGAGGGGGGAAAGCTGGGATAGTCGCCCTGGAACTTGAAGTTTGCCGGGGAACTTCCATGGGTCTACGGCCGGCCTTTTTCGTCGTAGAAGGCTGGATGGGCAGATGTCAGATATTCATCTACCACACTCAATAATTGCACTGCGGTGACGATGTGCAGAATATTTCTTCACTCTGGCATGGCCTGACCTCCATACCCATGTCGTCTGGAACCCTACCTCGCTTCGTTCTTCTTTTTCTTTTCTTCTTTGGCATGACAGCAACACCAAAGCTCCACCGTCAGTCGGAAACGGACTAGTGACTGCCGTGGCATAAAGATCAAGCATTTCGAGCCATCCGGTTTGTGACGCAAACTACAATGGAAAGAGCTCGCTGGTGTACACACAACGAAGGGCCTACGGTGCTATGGAAAGTTTGACGCTCCATATGGACATCTCGGACTCATCAACAGGCTTTTCATAGGTAACAACAGGAGTTTGAAAACATGAGCTACTATTTTGCAGCTCTGATTTAAGAAAGCTTACTCATTTCGCCGGCCTCGGGACAAGAGGGCGTGTATAAGTGAAGACATTCAAAGCCATAGTCCAGAAGAATAGCCTCTGCGACCGGAGGGAGATTCTTGAAAACCCTGAATTCTTCCAAGGCACCTGGGATTTCCACGCCGGCAATTCGACCCTGCTGCACGAAATATAGGTTCGATATTCCGTCCTGCTATATTCTTGGATCGTAAAGTGTAACAAAGAAGATCGAGTCAATCCTACTAAATAACAGAAGATGGCTCAAATCTGCTAAGTTGAGCGGTAACTGTGCTTGAAATGACCATTGTGAAGAGTAGTCTACTTTGCAGAGGCAGCAGGGAGTAGGAAAATCTCCTGGCGTAAGCTAATCACTCCAAGTTGAGCCACGTGAAACTGGAAATTGGAAGTAATGTTATCTTCAGCTCGATGGACATCCACCAGGGCATTGGTGAATGGCGTAGAAACTACGGTGACCATATAAACGTCAGATCACCCGGCTCTGCAGTGGTCCTGACCCGGCAGGATCAAAGCAGCCTTGAAGCCTGCATGTGAAAAAGCTTGACACTCTTCCTGCTGAAAGCCTTATGCGGTGATTGAACAGCTTGATGGGGTCGACAAATCAAGAGACCTCCACATCCCGTTTTACTTCCAGCCCTCCGGAGCCGAAATCTCTCGTGTCTGCGACAAGGTGCAGGAGCCCTTCGGCATGAGACACGCGGCTCAACGCGGGGCTATTCGCCCCCCTGCCTTCTATAGCGCGATATAACCTTCGCAAGCTCTATTTGTAGAAGGACCATATGCGCTCCTGTCTGGTTACATTGGAGTCGCGGCCGTCTCCGGTGGAAACCACTACATGTTGCCCATCGGTAGCGCCCAATCATGCCAATTCGGAGGAATTCCCAACACTGCAAGATCGGACGACCCCGTACTGGCCGAGAAAGCCCACCACCTCTGTTGACTCCCTCGTGGTCACTCGTAATCTGGAAGGAACCTCCCAATCAGTTGACTGCTTATCCCAGTGAATGCCCAGAAGTGGTGGTCTGGCAAGGCGGGGAAGAGACAAGAACCCTATCCCCGCACTTTCTCGCCCATAAGAAAGGCCTGGGAGGCCGAGCTCTCGACAGGGGTGTCCAATTACTTGGGCGATGAGAGTGCCTAAAGAGAGAATAAGGATTGCGATGATCCCCGCACCGCCAACGGGAAACAGGCAGGTCAAGAAACATAGCCCCTGTCCATGATGCGTTAGCGTCAAGGCCAAGCCCCCAGGCCCTGGCCGATGAAGCTCAACCGCCTTCAACTGCTGTGCGTCCGAAGTGGAATGGAGCAACACGACGCCTTACCTATACTCATCGGGAAGGTGAAACATCTGCACCATCTACTGCTCCTCGCGACAGCAAACCTCTCGGCGCCAGCCACCTTCTCACGAGCTGCCTTTTCTCGGCCAGCTTCCACATCTTTACAAGTAATCCAACCGAGCTGCGGCGATCCCCAACGGCCCAATCGGTCGACTCCCAGGTCTGAACGCCCCTTCTGCTACGTCAACCATCACTATTCCAGTCTAGTGGCCAAGAGAAAGCTACAGTCATGTTCTTGGCTATTCACCCCGCCCCCGTGAAATCGACAGGCTACCTGCCTTGCTGGTCAACAGGGGAGACCCCGAGTCTCTGTCCATGACAGCATGTTATCACGGCGCATGCATCAACTCGACGCCCCAGAGCTGGGGTCGCATTCGCTCTGCGTGGCCCAGAACCCACCATCCGATGCTACCTCGATCCGCAGTCTCCGCGGTTATCCTTCTCCATGGAGCTCCCTGGACCTCAAGATAAAACCTACGCCACTGCCCTACACTTTACCATGATCTTTTGCCTTTGACAGCTCTCCTTCGATATCAGCAAGCAGTCCCAGCCAACTAGAGCTGAGCAGCGAGTACCTGTCGTCCAGTACCTTCCAGTCACCATGAGAGCCTCTACCATCATTGCCGCAACCCTGCCCCTGGCGGCGGCCAAAGTCTCCTACGATGGCTTCAAGGCTTTCTCGATCGACAGCCACGACAACTTTGACGCTGTCGAGGCGTCTCTCGCTGGCCTAAACTACGTGTCTCTCAGCTGCCAGGATGACCACGATCATCTCGACGTCGCCATCGCTCCCGAGGATCTCGCCGCCTTCGAGGCCCTGAACCTCGACGCTAAGGTTACCTTTGAGGACTTTGGCGCCGAGCTTGCTGCTGAGGGCGAATTCGAATCCTACACTGGTGAGTGTATTCAACTGGCTCCTCCATGACAATGAATGCTGAACGCCTTTCTCAGCACCGCAAGATCAAGGGTCGCAGCGCGCAGGAACTCCCGACCTCTCGTACTTCAACTCGTACACGAGCTGAGATCACCACAGTATCTCGAGATCTGCATGCTGCGTTCCCCGACAATTCGGAGATTTACACTGCTGGCGAATCACTCGAGGGCCGTCCCATCAAGGGCATCCACCTTTGGGGCCGTGACGGACCCGGCAAGCACGAGGCCATTGTTCGTCACTCGACCCTTGCTTGATATACTTATGCTGACAAAACTGAAGATCTGGCACGGTACAGTTCACGCGCGTGAGTGGATTGTCGCTCCGGTGAGTTTTGCCCCCCCCCCCCCCTAAAAGTGTTCAAAGATCGATTGGCTAACAACGGCTCATAGACTGTTGAGTACATGACCTACAAGGTCATTGATGGCTACAAGAAGCGCGCTTGTAGCTCCGTCCGCACCCTCGATAACTACGACTTCTACATCATGCCCATTGTGAACCCTGACGGTATGATTTTGGTTTCTTCCAGGTGCTCGGGTCGGCAGTCCACTGACATGTGCAGGTTTTGTCTTCACCTACACCGAGAACCGCCTCTGGCGTAAGAACCGCCAGGTCCGCACCGGAGCTTCCTGCATCGGCACCGACATCAACCGAAACTGGCCCTACAAGTGGGACGTCCCCGGCGGCTCATCGACGAACCCGTGCTCAGAGACATACCGCGGCCTTGCCCCTGGCGACACTCCCGAGATGCAGGTACTGACCAACCACACTCTCGGTCTGTCGCGCACCACCGGCATTAAGTTCTTCGTCGATTGGCACGCCTTCAGCCAGCTCATCATGCTGCCGTATGGTTACAGCTGCACTGAGGTTGCGGCGAACAACGACTACCAGATGAAGCTCGCCGCCGGTGTCAACGAGGCCATCAAGAGCGTCAACGGCCTCAACTTTGTCTTCGGTCCCACGTGCCCGACCATTTACCAGACTTCTGGTGTCTCCATGGACTGGGCTTATGACGTTGCCAATGCCGAGCTGTCTTGGGGCTGAAT